GCCGTCTGTCAATGGACAGGCTGATATCTTCGAAACTCAGATACGGCTCGTGCGCGCGAGCGCGCACCTTCCCTTGATGCATAAATAACTAGTATATGAAATTTCTTGCAATGATTGCGATGCAACGTATGTCGGACAGACTTATAGACAACTTAAAACTAGAATCGCTGAACACAAGAACCAAATAATGAGAAATACTGCTACTCAATCTGTTGTTACTGATTATGCATTAAATTATAGCCACACCTTTAATTGGGATGTCATTGGGATATCATGTGAGAGTTTTGAATGTTGAACGCAATTACCATAAACGATTAATCTCCGAGATGATTAATATTAAGCGACAAGATAATGGCATTAATTTAAATACAGACACGGAGAAGCTCAGTTTACCATGTTTTTTTGTAGTACTCATTTTGTTTATTATTATTGGGAGTATACATCGTCTCTTGACTTTCATATACTATGTCTATTCGTTGTGTCACACATCGACCACAGTCACGGTAGTATCTAATATGCGCACTACTCCATTATTTTATCAAATTACGAATATTCTGTGTTCTGGTATGTATTTCGCGTGCTCTCTTGAGATGAGTCTTTCTCATTTTATCCCTTTGGACCTTTTTAAATAAAATTTACATTTTCTATATTAGATCAGTATTCCATCCAGCCTTTCAATTGGCTTGAGATAAATGCTTCTTATCAACTTGCCGGCTTTTGACCGACTGCCTATGGATAGCGGCGAATCACATGATTGTTTATGATTTTGACTATTGGAGTGGATGAAACTTTTAACAAACAATTGAGATCGTAACGTACACGGTACAAAGCGGATCTTGGTGCTTCTATATAATATTAGTATGAATCTTACAATTTTCATATAACACCACGTGGCCGCCCATCGCGTGCTTCTCCGCAGTTCCGAACCGAATAGTGTGTAATATCACAATTAAATTGCAATCTAATAAATCGATGTTCAAAGCATCCAGTACTTGAAGCTCACTTGCATCCAATAAATCCCCCCTCCCTCGCGACGTCGAATGATTGCTAACTTACATCTATACAAATCTGTAACAAAATTTATTGCGAAAAAATATCACCCCAGCCAGGAATCGAACCCAGATCTCCATGTTTGTTGGAGGGGCGTCCTACCTTTAGACCACCGAGGCATGTAATAACATTGAAACTTTTATATCTTCAAGATTTACGCTAGTTAAATGTTTTTGTAATGAGATGAATTTTTGCGCTGATGAAGGCTAGAAATTAACTGAAACGTACGTTTTTATGTTTATTATTTTATACTAATTTTTATTGAACTCTTTGCGCTTTCACAACCGCACTCGATTCCTCTTTTTTTTACCCTCTGCTTTAAATGTTGTTTTAACGTAGAGAATCCTATAACCTTTTAAACCAAAATAACTCTTATAATTCTGCTATAATAAATAATTTTGCTATATCATACATCGTTGTATTCGTTAAAAGAAACGCTACAACTTTTATCATATTAAAATTGTCACGTTGCAAATTGTCACCGTGCAAAAATGCAAAAATTAATCATGTTTTTCTGTTCTCTAACATTGATAATATTTCTAAGTGACTATATACATGTGCATACATACATACATACATACATACATACATACATACATGCATGCATGCACACGCACACGCACACGCACACGCACACGCACACACACATAGGTAGATATATATTCACAAAACCTGCGGATTTTCTTTTAAGTGAGGATTCTTTAAAATATTCTAGATCAAAGACGAAAATCCTAATACGAAAATATCAAAATTATAATAGTTTTTAAATTAATAGCGATTAAAGTTGGCTAATCACAGAGCTGACATTTCGCGCGCTCAGGCACGATGATATGACAAGTAATAGAGATGCTACAAGGACCCTCTTAATAACGCCGAGATTATTATACAAATATGCAATATTTTTACTAAGAAATTATTTTTTCTTTTATACGAAACCTATTTGTATATTAAATAATTAATATCGGAATGTTCAAAAAGTTCCGGGACACCTGAATATCTTGGAAAATATAAGTTTTACATAAAAGTGTTTCAGACAAAAGTTGTAGAGTTCAAAAAGATCTATTTACTGATCTTATCAGTTTGACCTTGGGTGGCGTTGTCAAGATTAGGAAAAGATCACTATAAATTTTTTTAATGGAACTCATTTTTCTTTGCATATTCTATGCATGTAACTTATCTTAAGAGCTTTCCAAAATACTATAATAAAATATTTTTTCATTAAGCACTTTTTGAGTTATAAGTTGAGTTATAAGCTTGAAAGTTACAGTACTGTCGGCACTAGCATTACCCAGGTGTCCCAACAATAACTAAAATCTTTTGAATATTGTTCAGGATCGTGAGCTCGACAACATCAAGATTATGATCATGACGAGGTTGGAAACGATTTATTTCCTGACTTATGTTTATGTAACTTTTTTCTTTCTTTTTGGGTCCCGAATCACCTCCCGAAGTATTGCAGGCGATTTATTGGACACCCTCTACAACAACCTTAGCTTCAAATTATGCAGTGATGGTTTACGCTTTGGTTGTCAACATTCTAATTAGAACAAAAATATGAAGGATTTTTGAAATTAAAAAATAAGAATTAATAATAGAGCAATTAGACTATGACGCGGTACTAGTTCGCATTTAGAATTCAACATAAATAGATTAAATAACTTAATATATTTAATTCTTATTCTGTAATTGGAATTAATTTAATTTGCTCGCAAAGTGTCGGAAACTTTCCGATTGTTATGAATACGAATCAAATAAGTGCTTGGCTTCTCTCTCTTTCTAATCGGAATCTGAATTCAAGTTTCGTAAGTGCTTTGTTTATTGAAACGTTATCGATAAATTCTCGAGATAAAGAGATATAAGAGATATTACTTGGAAATTAGTTATGATTAAAGAAATCAAGCGTTATAATAAAGTAAGAGTATAGATTGCATATAATAAAAATTATAGAAATTTATTAAGGGATATATATTTATTATTTAAAATTAGAAATTAGTTTAAAACTTTTAAAATTCTAATTGTTTATTTGTTCTTTTATTTTCATAATGTAACTTAGATTTTTAATAAAAACACATTATAGTTTTTAATAATAATTGCGACATGACAATTATGTTGTACACAATTCTAATGTTTTTAATTATTTAAAAATTATTTTACAATTAAAAGAGAAGATTTTTGAAGAATTGCTAATAATGATACGAAGTAGTATTTATATTGAAAAGAGACAGAAAAATATAAAAATTAATTTTTAAAACTATTGGAATGATTTTTAAAAATAATTTAATTTTATAAATAAAATTTTTGTTACTTTTTTTAATCTATTTTATTAGTTATATTATTAAATTTATTGTAGTTATTAATAAATATATTTAGTAGGGTATTACCTGTAATAAGAGACTGATGATAATCAAAATCATAATAAGATAAAACATCGGACTATTTCGCTGATATTCAATGAGATATCTCAATTGATTCGCATTAGCCGTTATGAGTGCGACATCCATCATACCCTGTGCTACAGTTTTCTTAGCCGCAAAGCTGTTTGCCTGTCTTGTATTATAATTTTGACCTTTCTTGTCCGTTGTGTCAATGGCAGCCACTGGTTCTTTAATCACAATATTCTCGTGCATTTCCGCTTTAATGGATGTAGACGGTGGATCATTCGCAATATCTTCGAGTATCTCCATTTTGGTGGAAGTAGACTTATCATTCATTTTTCTGTCGAAATGTATATTTTTTCTCCGCGATTTTCCGTATATCAATTTAACCGTCACTGTTCCGAACTGGCAAAGGCACTTATAGAGACTTCTATTAACAAAGAAAGTGTGTAGCAATCAATTGAACGTGCGTTGAGAGTATTTCCTGCTTTTCGATAACGCCCCTCTCCTTGCACAGACATACAGAGGATGTTGCATTTCATGCGCTTTATTTTTTACAAGGTTGAAAAAGTTACTGTGTTTAAAAATATCTCGTTACTGAGTCGAAAAAGTAAGTAATTATCAATTATTGATTACCAAAAGTGACTCGTTATTGTTACTTAAAAAAGTATCAATTTATTAATTTTTCCGTTACTTTATTAATTAATTAATTATTAATTTATTAATTTTTAACGCTAAAATAAAATTAATCTAAAAAAAATTTGCTTTTGTAGTATTTTTTAAATAAAAATACTAATAAAAGCAACACAATTTTTTATCTTAAATTGACAAAACTACAAAAAATTTAAAAAGAAAGATTTTAAAATGCTCAAA